ACTCAAGCCTATTTGGTTTCCACCGAATTGCTTTCTACTGAGTTCGGGAAGGTTCTGTTCGGGGCGCTTCGCGACCCTCAGAACATTCGCGTAACACCTGGGTAACTGGCCTTGTGTCGAGCCTATATATAGCCTCGTGTTGTACCCAGGTGATCATTCAATTATAACTCTCTTTTCTGACACTCTCTGGCAGACCCCTCTGGGGGTCCTGTCCTTGCTCACTTCTCCACTGTCCTCCCGTGTCCGGCGGCTCCCTCTATCACCCTGTCTGGTCTTTACCTCCCCTCGTTCTCTACGCTTGGTGAGTGGTGCTGACCTACAGGATGGGGGAGTGTACCAGTTCACTCCTGGAAGTCAGCGGGTGACACACTGCATTGAGGCTCGGACAGGCCGACACTTGGCCACGTTTACACGTCAGCCGGGGTCGAGCCTGTACACACTGACTACTGAGTCTCCTCCAGTCACTGCGTCTGGTCGGGTAGCTGCGTCGGGTCAGGTGTTTGCTGCAGCGTCCAGGTCTGGTCCTGAGTCTGCCCCCTGCTCGTGTTGTCTCCTGTCTCACGGGACTCTCCTCTGGCACCACCGCCTTGGTCACCCCTCTCTGCTTCGTCTCAGAGGCATGGCCTCCCGTCTCCTTGTTTCTGGTCTTCCCCGGTCCCTCCCTCCCCTTCCTCCGGGGCCTGGCCCTACCTATGGCCCCTGTGTCGAGGGGAGGCAGCGGGCTGCCCCTCACTCCTCCCAGTTTCCTCCGACAGAGGCTCCGCTGCAGACGCTTCACATGGACGTATGAGGCCCAGCCCGCGTCCGTGGACAGGGTCACGAGCGCAACTTCCTGCTGGTGGTTGACGACTACTCGCGTTACACCGCAGTCTTCCCCTTGCGCAGCAAGGGTGATGTCACTGAGGTGTTGATCGACTGGATCCGCGCAGCTCATATCCAGCTCAGGCAGAGCTTTGGCTGGAACTTTCCTGTTCTGCGTCTGCACTCTGACAGAGGCGGAGAGTTCTCCTCTGACCTTCTGCAAGCCTATTGTCGTGCACGAGGCATCCGTCAGACCTTCACGCTTCCGGACTCTCCGCAGCAAAATGGGATTGCTGAGCGCCGCATTGGCATGGTCATGGATGTCGCTCGTACGTCCATGATGCATGCGGCTGCCCCCCATTTTCTGTGGCCGTTTGCGGTTCGGTACGCGGCGCATCAGATCAACCTTCACCCCAGGGTCTCCATGCCGGAGACCTCCCCAGCTTTGCTGTAGACGGGGAAGGTTGGCGATGCGTCTGCGTTCCGGGTTTGGGGATCTCGGACGTTTGTCCGCGACTTGTCTGCGGACAAGCTGTCCCCTCGTGCTGCTCCTTGCGTCTTCCTTGGCTTCCCCCCTGACGCGCCCGGGTGGCAGTTCTACCACCCCACCTCTCGTCGTGTTCTGTCCTCCCAGGACGTCACGTTTGACGAGTCGGTCCCCTACTACCGCCTCTTCCCCTACCGCACTCCGTCCCTCCCCCCGCCACCTCTCTTCCTTGTGCCAAGTCCCCCCCCGGTAGACCCCCTCCCCCCTCATGGTCCTGCCCCTTCAGGTGTGTCCCAGGTAGACGCAGTCGAGCCTGTCGAGGTTACTGGTGACTCTGGTGCTTAGCCTGGGGGTGCTGAGCCTGGGGGTGCTGAGCCTGGGGGTGCTACGCCTAGGGGTGCTGAGCCTGGGGGTGCTGAACGTGAGGGTGCTACGCCTGGGGGTGCTGAGCCTAAGGGTGCTACTACTGGGGGTGCTGAGCCTGGGGGTGCTGAGCCTGAGGGTGCTGAGCCTAGGGGTGCTACGCCTGGGGGTGCTGAGCCTTGGGGTGATGAGCCTGGGGGTAATACGCCTGGAGGTGTGGAGCCTGAGGGAGCTGGACCTGTTCGTGTGGCGTCTGGTGGTGCTGGGCCTGGAGGTTCTCCGGGTGCTTCGTCTCGGCGGGAGCCACTCTCTCCACCGGAGCTACGCGAGTGGTTTGCCCGGCACTGGAGGCGTGCTGCTAGAGCTGGAGGTTCTTCGGCTGCTGAGGGTGCTGGTGCCGCGGGTCCTGGAGGTGCTCGTACTGGGAGTACTGGAGCTGCTGGGCCTGCGGTTTCGACTGGAGCTGGAGCTACTGACTGTGTTGGCGCTGAGGCTACTGCTGTCGGTCCTGGAGGCGGTCCTGCTGAGGGTGCTACTAGTGCTGCTGGAGGTACTGGAGCTGGAGGTGCTGCTGACGATGGTGTTGCCGCTGGGGGTGCTGGTGCTGTCCCTGCTGTGTCTGGAGTCGCTGCACGGCCTCGGCCGTACTTTGTTCCGCTCCTTCAGCAGGTTCTTGGTCTCCCACCTTCTCCTAGTCCTCCTCCTCCCTTAGAGTGTCCACAGCCTGTCCCGTCACAGTTACAGTTACAGCCGGCCTCCCCACTACCTACTCCTTCTCCCTACACTGGTCCTACTAGAGGTCTTGCTGAGCGTCATGAGCCTGCGTCTCGCCCTGCGTCACCTGTCCGTCCTGCTCGCACTAGTGGTCGTGGTTCGCGTCAGCGTCCTCCTCCTGTCCCTGGCACGCACCGGATGTCTCTGCGTCCGTCCACTGCTCCTCTGCGTGCCCCTTTTCCTTCTCCTCCTGAGTCCTCTCTTCCTGCTCTTGCCGACCCGGAGTAGGACTCTCTTCGTGCTGCCACTCCCACTGTCACGCGTCCCTTTGCTACTGTCGTCACTGACCCTTCCTTTGAGTCCACTGCTACGTCTGCCCTAGTTGCTGAGCTCATCGACTTTGCTGTTCGCTGTCGCCTAGACTACGCTGCTAGTCTTATCGCTGAGTCTGAGTCTGTCTGTCCTCCGTCCGTCGGGGGTGAGTGTGCCCTTGGCACGGACGTCCTTGAGGACAGGCAGGAGGAGTTCCAGAGTCTGGCTGCTGCTTCACCTCATCTCGTGTCCGTATTGCTTACCCCTGAGGGAGACCCGGATGCACTTGACATCCCGACTCCGCGCTCTTACGCGGAGGCAATTGAGGGTCCCTACTCCTCTCAGTGGCAGGCAGCTACGGACGCAGAGATGGCTTCCAGGAAGTCCACAGGCACCTACGTTGACGAGGTTCCACCGCCTGGGGCGAACATCGTCAGTGGCATGTGGATTTTCAGGGTGAAGCGGCCGTCGGGTTCTCCGCCTGTCTTCAAGGCGCGTTACGTGGCTCGTGGCTTCAGTCAGCGGCAGGGAGTTGACTACTTTCAGACCTTCTCTCCCACCCCGAAGATGACCACTCTTCGGGTACTGCTGCACAAGAGCTTCGCTGGCTCACCTACCTTCTGACTGACCTCGGACAGCCGCCTCGTTCTCCTCCAGTGCTGTACGTGGACAACAAGGCCATGCTGGCCTTGTGTCGAGAGCAGAGACTGGAGCACAGAACTAAGCACATTGCTCCTCGCTACTTCCTTGTTCGTGAGCTACAGCAGCGTGGTCAGCTCCGTCTTGCGTACGTGGCCTCTGAGGCCAACACTGCTGATATCTTCACCAAGGCACTTGCGCCTTGTGACCATCAGCGTTTCTGTACTCAGCTGGGCCTTGTGCCTGCCTTGCCTCGCTTGCTCACCTCTTGACCTTTCTTGTACTATTACATATATATATACACCTGCTCTTGCTTGTCTAGCCTTTTATATATATATGTACTCCTGCATGTGAACTGGCCCTGTGGCCTTGACCTTGTGCTCGGAATGTGTGGTGACTTTGTGATCCACCCTGAGCTTGCTTTGCTTTGCTTTGCTTGACTGGTCTTGTGACCCCTTGTTCTCCCCCACTTTGCCTATGGGGGTGTGTCGGAACATTATAGCTTATGCTTTGTGAAGGCTGTAGTGGGGTAGCCCATAAGGGGTACAACCCAATTAGGGTTAGTACTTGTACCCAACTGTTTCATAGTTCATTCATTCTCGTTTCAGTTTTCTCATCGCTTGCAGGGCGTTTTCCCTGCTGGACCTTAAATTCCAGGGCTGGGTTGCCCTTGAATTCTGAAATTGGTGGGTTGGAAATTTTCTGGCCCTGATTCCTTACAGGGCTCAATGAGGGCTTAGGTCTGGAGTGTAAAGGGTAGATTTTAATCGAGTCCCCCCCTCCCCCCCCTCCAAACTCCTCCATAGCCCCCCACCCCCCCCCTACCCCGCGTTTTAATCTTGATTGGATCCATCCAATCCAATCCAACCAACCTGGCAAACTTGGAGTTGCGTGATTGGGTCACTCACAATTCAACTCAACATAGAACTTGTGTTTGTGCCAATCCAATCACATCCTCGCTCCCTTGCCACAACACACAGACAGAAGCATGAATCGGACTTGCTGCAGCAACGGACATCTCATATCCCCGTCGTGCAGTGCCCCAGCAAGCACGCACCAGCCCAGCAGCAGAAAAACACGTCAGATCCCCCTCGTGCTGTGCGCCTTGTACTGCACGACAGTACGACGACGAGACGAGGAGAAAGAGAGGACGTGCCACGCCACGCCAAGCCAGCCTTCCCTCCGTCACCTTTCTCCTCTAATCTCGTACTCCATCCATCAATCCCTTCTAGCTCTCACACAAGGCACTGCCTATTAAAAAAGCCCATGTTTAACACTTACGCATCGTGGCAGAAATGGAGCTTTCTAGTGAGACACGTACAGCATCGACCGTCCCAGTACCTCGAGTTTTCAACACCCCCGTCCACTCTGAAGGCCTGACGCCTTAGATTCGGATAGTGAGCACGAGAGTCTTGGTGATGGCGATGACGAGAACGCCTTAGACTCTAATAGTGAGAAAGAGAGTATCGGTGATGGCGCTGATGAGAACTTCCACGAGATCAAGGTCGAGCTAGTCGATCGTGTGTCTCGCCGCGCCAGTGAAGCTTCTTCCACTCCGGGCCAGCGCATGCGTCAGACGCGACTGTCTTGGTCAGGACCACACCTTCCACCTCGTAAGCGCTCGATGAAGGTGTCGACCTTGGATGACAAGGTCGCTCCTGCTGTGGATAATCCCGCGGAACGCATGGATGTCCCTACGTCAGAGAAGAAACTGGTCCAGAAGTGGAACCCTGGGTGGAAGCAAACCTTCAAGTGGTTGGTGCTCGAGTATGACGACGAGCAACAGATGTACGGTATGAAGTGTAAGATCTGCAAAGCCCATGCCAATAACAGCAAATCTCCGTTTGGCCCTCTTGGCATAGGAGCGCGTGATTTTCAGGTGGGTTGTTGCAGAGGTCATGAGTTCTCGAGGCTGCACCTTGCTGCTGTGACGGCCGACCATATCGCTAAGGGCACAGAGAGGCAAAAGCGTAGCATCCTATAACTTCTGAGCGCTGAGCCGCTGACCCGCAGAGTGGTGAAATGTCTTCAGGCAGCTTACTGGTGTTGTCGAAATCATGCACCAATCATGCTCTACATGCTTCTTGTTAAGTTCATGGCTGAGCAGGGCTGCCCAGACATGACTACTGAAGAGGCATACGGGCGATACTACTCAAGGTAATGCGTTGTTGTTTCTGCTTGCTACCATTATACAATCTAACATTCTGCTTATGCACCTTTGCAGATACGCATGCGGCGAGTTTGTTTCGGCGCTCGCAAGCTACCTTCAAGGGCGCCAGCTGGCAGACGTCCAAGCCTCGCCATGGTACGGGCTCTCATTCTATGAGAGCACGGACCGCGTGCACGGCAAGCACATGATCATGTATATGCACTTCGAGCGCAACGAGCAGACGGAGGTGCAGTTTTTTGGCAACATACCAGTCGACCAAGCCGATGGTGCCTCGTTGTACGCTTCCATCACGGCGCATCTTGACAGCAAAGGCTTGTCCTTGGACAAGCTTGCGGGTGTGTCCACTGACGGTGCCAAGGTTATGGTGGGAATGAAGAAGGGGGTTGTGGGTCGTTTAATGCAGCGCTGCCCGTGGCTCGTTGCTGTGCACTGCGTGGCACACCAGTGAGTCAGAATGCTTGTTTGGTATGTTCCTTTCTCATCTCTAGTTGCTGTTTTTTAACTCATGTTTCACTGGTACCTGTGTCACAGGGAGGCGTTGGCAGCAAAGGATGCTGCCAAGAAGTTCCCTGACTTCAATGTCATTGACTCACAGATTCGCAAGACTGCTGAGCACATCGGCCGCTCCAGCATCTCCAGAGATGCCTTCATGCAGCTGCAGGATGTGGTCATGTGGTCATGAAAACCCAATTGGAAGTTCAGGGCATTTTCGACGTGCGCTGGCTTTCACGCGGGGATGCAGTGGCGCGGTTTTGCGAAGTGCTGCCAATCCTCCTCTGGCTTTGGCACGAAGAGGACCAAGCCGCGTACAAGATCGGCACAATTTTCAAGTTTCATTTCATGCTCTTCTTCCTCGCCGGCGTGCTGGAGATGCTCAACACCCTCAACATGGCGTTTCAGAGGCTGGTGGTAAGTTTGCATCATGTCATGGCCTTTGCTGATACAAGCGCTCTTTATTAACTGCCCTGCCCCTCTGCCCTGCCCCTGTGCCCTGCCCCTGTGCCCTGCCCCTTTGCCCTGCCCCTCTGCCCTGCCCCTCTTCCCTGCCCCTCTGCCCTGCCCCTCTGCCCTGCCCCTGCTAATGAGCAGGTGGACATCGGCGAGGTGAAGCTCCTCGTCGATAAACTGAAGCTGAAGCTGGCGCAACGTTACGTGGAGAACCGCGCAGACTATTTGACCCCGAAGAGCAAGCACCTGCATGCTTTTCTCGAGAAGCACGGCAGCCCTGACAAGCGCGAGATCACCATCCGCGGCCTCGACAAGCAAGGGACCGCATGCACCATCAAAGACATACTGCATGAAAACCCCATCGGCAATGACAAGAAGATGGACCTGGATTCGTATATCAAGCTGGGGCAAGAGTTTGCGCAGGAGCTGATCGCAAAGCTGGACTACTGCCTTGGGGACCTGAAGCATTTTGACGGGGCAAAACTCTTCATGCCAATGCACTACCCGCCGCGCCCTGCTGACCGTGAAGGATGGCTCAACGTCCACCTCTACGAACTCCTTGACATGTTCAAGGAGAAGCTGCCCGGTACGTAAGAATGCCCATGATCCAGTACATTTTATATTCCCAGCAGTGTTGTTATCATAGGTGCCTCCATGTTTAACTTATTCTTCTCCTACGCCCACCCCACCACCCGCAAGTGTCACGTACCAGGAGTGTCCGCTGGAGATGGAGCTCTTTGCTGCCACAATGTTCAAAAAGTTCAAGGACCTGACTTTCCAGCAAGCCCTCACCAACGTGCTACGCACCTCAGACTGGAGGGATGGTTACCCCACCCTCGTGCACTTGTGGCGTGCACTTGCTGTCCTGCCCCTTAGCACTGTTGAGTGCGAAAGGGGCTTCAGTAGGTAGAACATAATAAAATCATGGGACAGGACTACTCTTAGTGATGTTAAGCTAGATCAGCTGATGACTGTGAAGATGCTTGACTATCCTGTGGAGTGGGTAGAAGTGCACAAGATCTTCACTGCTGCCAAGGCTAGGAAGCCTTCTAAGCGTGCATAGAGAAATGACGCCAAGTATTTGTTTTTGTAGTGTTTGCTTGTATTAGTTTGTAGTTGTAGTCATTGTACCAAACCTGACCTGATTCAAAGGGTGGTTAAAATGAAGCAGCAAAACATGACGCGCCAAACCTGATTCAAAGGGTGGAAAATTTTCCAGCCCTGACGCCTGAAGGGCCAAGACTCGCCCCAACCCTGCTAGATACTGTACAGGATCGCACGTGGCAGGCCCCCTGATTTGCCCGGGGGCCCCAAAACGAATCGACAGCCCTGGCGGTCAGTGTTGCCCGTCGGTGGGGTCGTCGTTGCACATCGCTTTGGGGTCTGTGCCATGACATTGGTCTGGCGAAGTGTCAGACCTGCTGGCATGAGTCGCGTCGCGTCACTCACGGCAGACCAAACCTCGGAGCAGAACCAGACCAGACGAACCCGACTCCCACATCACAACAGTGTTCGTTTCCAAGTATGGAAGTTAGGTTAGCACTTGAAAGTTCGGTTCGGGGTCCAAGTCAGCTGCTCACCCCACCATACCACCACCTGGCCGCCTTGGCCAATCGGAACCAGCCATAAAGCAGCAATACTAACCGTTCGATTGCGGTGTGAGCTGGTTCGATCTCTCAACCATTTCACACCTCAATCACGTTGTCCTTCGATTGGCTGTGAGCTCCACCAGTTTGAAAGTTCCTGGCTGGGAAAGCAAGCCGCGGTACACGCGTTTCAAATCATCCAGCAGCGCACCGTACGCCAATCTCCTGCTGGTTCACAATCACCACCAGGTGAATCATGACCCTTCCCATCTGCACAACGCTCCACGTCACGCGATTTCACCAGAATTCGACAACTCCCAGCCATCCATTTTCACCCGCCAACGGACCGTACCGCCAATCGCAGTTCCCGTGCGATCTTCGCGCATCTAGCCCTACGTCCGAGTGTCGTCGCCGACCTAAGCTAACGGAGAACGAACCAGGGTCTAGTAGGTCGGCTACGTACCAGTAGCAGTAGTTTCGATTCGACGGGTTCATTTGTTCTCTCTCTCTGGCACCACGTCACACTCACACCGCGTAGCGTTTCATCCGATGGCCTCTAGCGTCGCTCGCGACGCGAGCCTTAGAACCGCCCGGTGCGCGGTCCGTCCAGCTATTGAAACGCCAGCCTCATTCCGTGCAGCCCATATCCTTGTCGCTTTGTGCTCGTCTGGGCTGGCGCGTACGTACAAATTCCAGCAGACTGCGCGAGCTAAGTCATATCAGCAAAGCCAGCAGATAGGAAGTACTACGTACAAGCGCAGTTCTTGCCTCCTAAACAATTTACTTCGAGCCGTGCTTGTCAGGTTTAGGAGCTAGTATAGCTCGTTCAACGCCTGCCGTCCGCAATCCGTTTGAATATCCGTCCGCCACGTCACCCGCTATCAAGGCCACGTCAGCCGCCATGAACACGTCAGCAAATGGTATCCCGACCGTGTCAGAGCCCTGGGAGGAGGCGATTAGCTCTCAGCTCGCGGCGTGGTTCGACGACTCGCACTGGACGGACGAGCCGCCTTCCATGACAGTTACCGTTGGGGACCACGGCCGCGGCCAGCTAGACGGCGTCGCGACGGTCGCTCTTCCCCCAGACACGGTTTTCTCTATCCTCTGCGACCCGCACAACCGCCGCGTGTTCACGTTCATTAAGTCCGTCAAGAACGAGCGCGTCGTGAGTGACTGTAACGGGGTGAGAGTGGTCGAGTTGGACATAGTGTTCGCGCTCAAGGTTCCCTTCTTTACAGGCACGTTCGACGCGCACCTGCGCAACGTGCACGACCGCCCCAACCGCAGGGTCACCTTCTGCCTGTCGCGCCCCGGCTTCATGCGCAAATTCGAAGGCTACTGGCAGGTCGATCCGCTCCTCGTTCCCGCTTCTGCCACTTACGCCACCTCCCCCTCTTCTGCCGCTTCCGCTGCTTCCGCCGCGCCTTCCGCCAGCGATGTGCCGTCATTTCTCTCAGCAGAGGGTGACCCTGAGTCGGAGTTGTTCCCCTCCGTTTCCTTCACTCCTCAATCGCCGCTCTCAGATGTCATGTTTCTGGGCAGCTCATGCGACAGCGATTCCGAGTCCGGTTCGGACCTAAATGCGTCTGGCAGCGATTCTTCCAACAGTGCCAGCAGCAGCCCGGACCGCTTCCCTGCCCGCGTGATACCAGACCCCACCACCACCACAAGCGTCGGCAGCTTGTGCGGCAGCGGTGGTGGGTTAGGCGAAGACGACACGCGCGGATCAGGCAGGTTAGGCGAGGACAGCGGGTTAGGCGCGGAAGGCGGGTTAGGCGCGGACGGCGGGTTAGGCGGAGATGCTGGCATGCGCGTGGCGTCGCGTCTGGTGCTGCATCAGGTCGTGGAGCCGTCGCTAGCGCCACCCCCGATGTTCAGACGCTGCGTTCACGCGCTGCTCAAGGCAGCGACACGCGATGTGCTTGTCGTTTTCCAGTATGAAGCCGCACGCATTCGGAACAGCAAGGGGAAATTCCCCTGGAGAAATGGGGCGGAAGCGGGCGCGGAGGAAGGGGAGGAGGAGGGGAAAGGAAAGGCGGGGAAGAGCTCGAAGCTGGGAGCGATGTTTTTGCACAAGGAGGCGCTTGGGGGGAAGAACAGTGTGTTTGGCGTGGGGAAGGGGGGGTTTGGGTTGAAGAAACCGGCGCAGCGGAAGGCGTGAAGCCGCGGGTGAGGCTGACAGTGACACGTCGCCTTATCGATACAGTGCAGTATTTATACAGTGCAGCAGAGCAGGGTACTAGGAGATAGACAGCTACATAGTTTCTACGGCCCTCATGCATTGTGCTGACAGCAGCAACAGCAGCAGCAGCAGCAGCAGCAGCAGGAGCAGCAACGGAAGCAGCAGAGCCTGTACAATCCTTAGGGTACATGTGGGCCATCATGTGACCTCAGGATCACACGAGGCTTGAGAGCAGTGATTTGGATGGGAAGAGAGTGACGCCTGCTGCTGTCAGCACCATGCATTTGAGCCTTTATTGGGTTAAGGTGAAGAATGGAGCAGCTAGAACCCACAAGGGCACCATGCCGTGTGTAATTTCAATTCAATGTACGCGTCTGCAAAAGAAGCTGGAATCGCGGAGTCTCGTAAAGCCCGTGCTGAAATACGATACGATAGCTTATAGCATTACGAAACAGCAGGTATGATTCCACCATAATGACCCGACCAATCGCAAGGACACGCTAATACAGTACACTAGAGATCTTGCACTACACATTCTGGATCATTAATTCCCCCCCTTTTTTTTTGTACATTAACTGATAAGCAGCATGCGTGCAGTAGTGACGAGGAGCGTGATGCGTGAAGCAGTGACGCTCGCTCCACGAGAGCTCCTTTCCTTCCAAGGAAAGCGGACAACATTCATGTAGCTGCTTCATTATCCCGAGACATAACGCAACAACAGGACTGGTGTGGTGGTGGTGGTGGTGCATGTAGCAGTGACTACATTGCACCCAGAAGTGTGAGGGGAGGAGGAATGCTTTCCCCCTTGGGAGCAGGCTTCATTTCCGGTCCGGAGGCAGTAAGTATACAACGCGGAGCGTGGTGCAGGCAGCAGCAACTGCAGCTAAGAGTGTGGGCAGGATTTTGCCCATCGAGCAGGCTCATTTCCGAAGCCAGTAGATGATGAGAAACGTGGTGCAGGCAGCAATGACTGCCCCAAGGATAAGAGTATCGCGCGACTTCTTTCGCCGGATGGCCCCTGCGGGTATGGTCGGGGGGAGGGGAGAGGGGAGGGAATGGGGAGCACTGAGGAGGAACATGGTGCAGGCAGCAGTGACTGCCTTGAGGATGAGAGTATCGCGCGACTTCTTCCGCTGGATGGCCCCTGCAGGTATGGTCGGGGGGGGGGGGGAGGGGAGGGAAGGGAGAACGAGGAGGAATGAGGATGGAAGCGGCACGGCACAGGGCTGGACTGCCCCAAGAATGAGATTGTCGCAACTTCTGATGCGCCTCAAAGAAGTAAAGTGAAACCGGACTGCCTTGAGAATGAGCGTGTGGCGCGATTTTGTCTTTCCGCCAAATGGCCCCTGTAGGCGTGGGCCCGGTGGGGGAGGATGGGAAGAAGGGACGGAAGAACAAGGAGGGGATGATTCTTTCGATTTTGAAGGTTTTGAGATATTCTTGAATTTCTGGGAACAAGCTTCACAGTCTTGATCCTTTTGCTCAAGTAATTTCGACAGACAATGAAGGGTTCCGAAGCAAGACGTAGAAATTGTTTTTTTGAGAGGGAAGCGGTCTGAGGGCAGAATGAAACCAGCAGAACTGAACTGAACCCAGCAGCACCACACAACACACAGATGCACCGATGCAACGTACCCAGCACACTTCTGAGCACAGGGAAGTCTAGTGTCGAGGCGCCTCAAAACTACACTTCTGAGCACAGGGAAGCAGTCTGAGAGCAGAACCAAACAGCAGCACTGAAATCTGCAGAATTACCACAACGATACTAGAGTAAACCACATACCCAGCACGCTTCTAAGAAGAGGGAAGCGGTCGGAGAGCAACTTGATGCGGCCCTGAATGCCCACCAAGCACCTCAAGCGCACCGATTCAACATACCAAGCACCACTAAGCGATGCAACCTACCCAGCACGCTTCTGAGCAGGGGGAAGCGGTCCGAGAGCAGCTTGATGCGGCCCTGAATGCTCGCAAAGAGCGATCGCTGCGACGCCAACGCTGCCTTGGTGCTCGCTGCATGTGAGATGAGCTCGTCCATCTGCAGGGTGAGGCGGCGTGGAGTGCGGTGAGAATGGGGTGGGGTGCGGTGGGATTGGCACATCTCAGTTGGGGAGCGCCAGCACTGCCTTGGTGCTTGTTGCATGTGAGATGAGCTCATCCATCTGAGGGATGGGGTGGGGTCAGGTGGGGTTGGGTGGGGTGGGGTGGGGGCAGGAATGGAAAGAGGATCGGGGATTGGGGCAGTGGAATTGGGGCATCCATTTCAGCTGGGTGGAGGGGAGGAAAGGGCAGCATCATGAGAGGTAAAGGGCGAGGGAAAGGGAGAGAGGAAGGGAGAGAGGAAGGGAGAGAGAAAGGGAGGCAGCATGATAGTAGAGGGATGGAAAGTGGAAACAGAACGGAGTGCAGGCTGTATTGTTGCGACAGGAAATTTCACCTGAGCTTAGCGGCATTAGTCGAAATTCGTCAGAGCTATCATCGAGCTATGTTGTTATTGGTTGAGTTGCCTGAGCAGGGCTGTTGTAATCACCTGAGCTATGTTGATATCACCTGAACAGGGATGTTGTAATCACCTGAGCTATGTTGCCGTGAATCGCCCGCCTCTCCAGCAATTGACTTTGGCTGTTGGAACCAGACGGCTGTGCGGAGGTGGAACGGGAGAAAGGCAAGAGGTGGAAGAGGAGAAAAGTAAGAGAGTGATTGCAGATACAGCCGTATGAGAATCATCACACGCAAGCAGCAGCAGCAAGCAGCACCTAGTATGCAGAGCAGACTGAGGATTTGAGGACATGAGGCGCAGCAGCATGCATGTCAATCAGGCACAGCAACATGCACTTCTCTTTTTGAAGTGCTGACTTACTTAATTATTCACTTCCCTCTTGAATCGTGCATGGCACATCACACACAAGCAGCAGAGACATGTTCAATTGGTTTTGAGAGACGCCTCAAAACGAACCACGTACAAGCAGCAGAGACAAGAATCGTATCGTACCACAAGAAGGTCAGCGGTGGCAGTGGTGGATGTACGGGAGGAGGGCGTGAGGGAGGCATGGCAGTAGCATAGGCAAGCAGCAAGCATGCACGACACAGGGTGCTTTTGACACATGAGCAAGGAAGGCAGCGCACCACCAGAAGGTCGGCGGTGGCAGTGGTGGATGCACGCGAGGAGGAGAGCAGCTCCGCGTGCTGCCTCATCATCGCCAGATTGCCCCTCGTGCGCCGAAACTCCTGCCAGGGAGGAAAGAGGGAAGCAATGGTTCAGGAGTGAGGGGAGGGGGTTGGAACGGGGGAGGAGAGCAGCTCCGCGTGCTGCCTCCTCATGGCCAGATTGCCCCTCGTGCGCCGAAACTCCTGCCAGAGAGGAGAAATGGAGAGGGAATATGGAGGATGCGATGCAAGCATGGTGCGATGCAAGCATGGTGCAGTAACGGAGGGATGGAGCTGCCTCATCATGGCCCAATCGCCCCTAGTGCTTCAGACTTCCTGCCAGGGAGGGTTGAGGATGAAAGGGAGGGGAAGAGGTCGACTAAAAAGCTGTTGGACACATCGTGCCAAAGTGCCTCTCGTCGTGTGCAGTGATGCTTTCGACAGGCATGCGTGGGAGGGGGCCTGTTTGAGGCCTACTGGGATACAAGGAGCAGGTGACGTGGAGCGGCGCAACTCAGTCTGTCGTTGCACCTTCTACAGTCATGTAGCACCGACATGCCCTGAGTGAACTCAAACGAATCTGCTTATAGCGCATCCAGTCCTCACCCACCCACCCACCCACCCACCGACCAACCCACTCACCCACCCACCCACCCACCCACCCACCTGAGTGAACTTCTGTAAAATGTCTCGGTACCGAGCCACCTTCTGAGACAGCGATGCCGTGGCAGCCGTGCCCTCGCCACCGACACCGGTAGCAGGAGTGGCAGCACCACTACACCACTAGCACCACCGGGATCCTCCGCCCACCTGAGTGAACTCCTGCAAGATGTCGCGATGCCGAGCCACCTTCTGAGACAGCGACGCCGTGGCAGCCGTGCCCTCGCCACCCACACCACCACCGGCAGCAGAGCAGCAGCGCGCCATGCGGTTGTTGGTGTCTGCAAGCCGCTGCAGCTGCGCCTCTATTGCTTTTTCCACCGCCACCACCGACCCCTCGCTGCCCCCCTCGCCCCCCTCGCCGTAACCTGTGATTTGAGGGGGAAGGTCGGGGGAGAGGGAAGGCGGGAGGGGCCAGAACGGCGGTGAGAGGAAGGGAGGCAGGCACAATGCGAGGCAACAGCAGCAGAGCAGAGCAGCAGCGCGCCATGCGGTTGTTGGTGTCGGCCTGGCGCTGCAGCTGCGCCTCTACTGCCTTTTCCACCAGCACCACCGACCCCTCGCTGCCCCCCTCGCCCCCCCCGCCGTATCCTGTGGGGAAAGGAAATACGCGGGCAGGGAGGCGAAGCGGGACGAGAAACGAGGGAGGGATGGGAGAGGCGGAATGAGACGATGGAAAGGGGTGAGAGGGAAGGGAAAGGAAAGGACAAACTTTATTCCTTACTTGCCGTGTGCTCCTTTGGTAACCGGAGAACCCCTTAACAATGCGCCGTGACGACTGCGTGCATTGCTGACCGTTGAACCACCCACCGTTGCGCGACCAGCGTGCTGCACAGGTAGGCGTATGGCGACAGATGTCGCACAGCTGGTCGCAGAGCGTCGCATGACTCACCGCTATGCGACAGCATGCTGCAGAGCTTGGCGTACGACGACAGCTTCACGTCCAGGTCGCCCTCCAGCTTCCGCGCCTCGCGCCGAAGCTCCTCCCACGGCGCGCCCGAATCGTCTGCGGCCATGATCCCTCGCTGTTTGCCAACAGCGAGTTCGACAGGCTCGACGCTAAAGAGGCTCGACGGGCTCGACGTTTGGGTTCCACGTTCGGGTTCGACGTTCTGGTTCGATCGCAACAAGCCGGTCAGCAGGTCATGCTTCCTCGTCCAGTAAGTGCGAGTGCAAGTGCAGCTTACAGCATTTGTATTTCGCAGTTATATGCTGTGTAAATTTTAGAAATGCTAAACTGGTTCTTCGTACTGTCTTACAGAAACTATCGCAGGTGGTTCTATGACGAGTGATTCTTAAGTGCTTCTTGGAGAATAGAAATCACTTCCTGCACTGCTATAGGCATCTCGAGCGCGGAATAAGGTAAAGTATACTCAGAAAACTGGAAGACGCTTCAAAAAATACATATCATCCATCTGATGTAAAAGCCACCTAACCGAGGACGCGTGGTTCTGCAGTACGAACCTAATTCATTTACTGTACTAACCAGGGCGACAGGATAGCCAGCCTGCAGTTAAAACCTAATTCACAATCCAGCCAGGGCGACAGGATAGTCAGCCTGCAAATAGCGATCTTTACTATCGCACGCCGCGGTTTCAGAATTTTGACCCGAATTCGTCGTGGTGGTATCAGCAGCAGGACGCACAACTAAGGATGTAGTTTGCCTCTCAATCAACCCCTCGACATTGCCGATTACTACACTGTGCAATGGGACCTTCGTGTCTCACTTGGAAGACTCTGGTCTGGAATCTGACCGTTGATTGCCATGGGACCATCTAAGAGGACGAGATGGTTACCACAGATTTGTAAGACGGTACAGTGAGATGCTATGCATCTCAAAACGGCGGAGTAGGACTTCAGTAAGAAAGGATTCTGCATGTCCTGTATGATTGGTACGAGGGTTGATTCGGATGAGGTTCAACAGAACCAGAGAAGCAGGTTTGAGGTCTATGCGACTGTCTTGGTAACCCTAACAATCTGCCATCGCGACGTCCGCACTGGTCCGATCAATGCTCTCTCGAACATGTCAGTTGTACGGAGCCTAAGAACTCGGTACCTTTCGACTTCAATTTCGCGAACACCGTCAAGCGCAAATTCACGGGAACCGAAGTTCAGGCGAAGCGTTTACACATGCGAACGTAAGCTTCGCTATTCCGTGATTCGCAGAGAAGTTGTGTGTACCGTTCGATATTCAATACAAACCACACGAAACTCCATCCCCAGAACACAATTTCGAGTGCCAGATTTTCAGAGTGACGTTGGCAATGCAACACGATAGGGGGGTTTAGATAAAAGCTCAGACCGCCCTTTCTTACAGGATTCTACTTTTGAGGCGCCTAAAAAAAAGCTCAGAGCCCCCTTCTTTACAGGGCAGAGGAAGTCAAGGTGGCATTGGCGCTAGGGCGCGCAGCGAGATGAGGAGCGCGGGGTCCGCAGGCAAGGGCGGTCGCGCCAAGTCCAACTGGCCCGACACCCCCAACGCGTTTCAAACTCTAGCGCCTCGGAAACGCGACGAGGCACGTGTCGTTCTTACCGCTATTGCCGCCACTGCTGCTCCTGCCGTCGCCGCCCCTGCTCGCTGCTTCCCCGGCTATTCTCGCCAACCTGTCTGCACTCCGCTTATTCCGCTCCCCCAACCCAACCCCGCTCTCCCGCACGCGCCTCTTTCCCCCTCGGCATTGCCATGGACTTCATTCCTCGCCCCTGTGTCCCCAACTTTCCGCCTTCCCCCTCTCGCCCCTCCCCTTGTTCCCGCTCTCTCCCCATTCCTCCCCGCCCAGCCCTCCCCCTTCTCCCCCTGGCTCGCGCGCGCGCTGCTGTTCCTCCCCGGCCTCGCCACAGGCTTCATTCTCGGCCGCCTGCTGGGGGGAAGCGGGGGAAGCGGAAAGGCCGCAGGGGGGAAGAAGGGGGAGCTGACGGCAGGAGGCGGGGGGAGCAGTAGCGGGCGGAAGGGGGGCGGAGGCAGCGCGGGGGGGAGGTCAGCGCCAGCGTTTGGGGGGAAGGCGGAGACGGAGGGGGCGGGGGGGCTGGTGGTGGGGCGGGGGAGTGAGCTGAAAATGGTGCTGGTGGTGCGGCAGGATCTCAAGATGAGTTCTGGGAAGATCGCCGCCCAGTGTGCCCGTGAGTGCTGCCCAGTGCGCCCGTGAGTGCTGCCCAGTGCGCCCGTGAGTGCCGCCCAGTGTGCCCGTGAGTGCCGCCCAGTGTGCCCGTGAGTGAATTTTAAGTCGACTCAAAAATGGTGGTGGGCCGGGGGAGTGAGCTGAAAGTGGTGCAGGTGGTGCGGCAAGATTCTCAAATGCGGGTGGGGAAGATCGCCGCCCAATGTGCCCGTGAGTGGAGGGGGAGGGGGGGGGGGGGGGGGGGGGGGGGGGGGCACAGGGTGGTGGTGGGGCGGGGAATTGGGTTAGAGTTTTGAGGCGCCTCAAAAGGAGCACGGGGTGGTGGTGGGGTGGGGGAGTGAGTTAGAGATGGTGCTGGTGATTCAACAGGACCTCAAGATGAGTTCTGGGAAGATCGCCGCCCAGTGTGCCAGTGAGTGCCGCCCAGTTTTCAGTCGGATGAACCTTCATTGATCTAGGCAGTTTCCAGTCTGTCTCAAAACCCCTTGAGCCCTCAACCCTCAAACCCACAACCCTTCCACTCATGACCCCTCCTTCTCCTCTCCGTCCTGTCATCCCCTCCTCACATCCCCCCCTCACATCCCCTCCTCACATCCCCCCCTCACATCCCCTCCTCACATCCCCCCTCACCTACTTCCTACCAGACGCAGCAGTGGGTATTCTCACCGACCTGCAAACAAGGTGCGCCTCTCTTCTCTCCTATCACTCACCCCCCTTCACACTCTAGTCGCACTCCTCCCCTTCCACACTCAACATGCTGCTAGTAGCAACAACGATACGTCCCTCCCTCACTCCTCCAAACTCCCTTTCCTTCCTTTTCTTCTTCCACCCCTCCTTCCTCTCCACTCTTCCCAACACCTTTCCTCTTCCCTTGTGTACCCCTACCTCTTCCTCCTCACCGTTTTCTGCTCAAAATCTTCCCTCGCCCTTAGATCGCCCTCCCTCCCTCGCTGCTCTCACTCTTCTCCCTTCCCCTCCTAATCTCAGCCGCCTATTCTGAATCATCTTTCTGCTGCCTGTCTGCCTGCCTGCCTGCGTTCCTGTATAGGTTCCCGTCCTCGTACCTGTGAGTGTGCAGCAATAAGGCGTTGCTGCCGCACTACGGGGTGTGTGGGCAGCCCAAGATGGTGGTCTCCTGCAGCAACCTCGCCTCTCCCTTCCCCCCGCAAACCTAATCCCTGCCTGCCTGCCTATCTTCCTACCTACCTGTGAGTGTGCAGCAATAAGGCATTACTGCGGCATTACGAGGCGTGTGGGCAGCCCAAGATAGTGGTCTCCTGCAGCAACCTCAAGGAGATGTGAGCCATCTCAAGCAAGCCTCGAAAAGTTGGAGCAAGTTTTGAAAAGTTTTTTCCTTTCTTTCCTTTGTTATGTTTTTTCTCCTTTCTTTCCCGTTGATGCTGCTATGCGCTCATGCATGCACCATGCCACAATAATCTCACCATGCACTACCATGCACCACTGTACTTCACCGTACACCACTCCACAATACACCACCATACCGCACTGTACGCCACTGTGCAGGAACGAGCTGAGAGGGAAGGCACAGCAGCACCGGTTGCCAGTCTTTACAGTCTGCGATGCTGGCAGGACTCAGGTGGGCCTCAGGTGTTCCTTCAGGTGATACCGGCATGACTCAAGTGGGCGTCGAGTGACGCTTCAGTTGAAACTTCAGGTGATGATTCAGGTCATGCTTCAAGTCTGTCTGTATTTTTTTTCCTTCTGTTTCCCATGCTCCTCTCCCATGCTCCCCTCCCATACCCCACCCCAATGCTTTCCTTCCTATGCCCCTGCTCCAAAACCCCCACCGTCAACAGGTGGCAGCAGGGTCCAAGGCAGTGCTTGCAGTGGGTCCAAACCAAAACTCCCTCTTTTTGAGGCGTCTCAAAAGCCATCCTGCTCCACCTGCCTCTCCCCACTCACCCCACTCCCTCTCCCCCCCCCCCCCCCCCACCGTCAACAGGTGGCAGCAGGGTCCAAGACAGTGCTTGCAGAGGGACCAAAACCCCCTCTTTTTGAGGCGTCTCAAAAGCCATCCCCCATGCTCCACCTACCCTCCCCACTCCCCCCCCCCAAACCCTCAACAGGTGGCAGCAGGGTCCAAGACAGTGCTAGCAGTGGGACCAGGTCCGTGCTCCCTCGCCTCGTTTCACTTATCGCTTCCTCCCACCCATACTCTTGTTCTTCTCTAGCCCCTCCTCCCTCACCACGCCTCCTCCCTCACCACACCTCCTCCCTTACCACGCCTCCTCCCTTACCACGCCTCCTCCCTTACCACGCCTCCTCCCTTACCACGCCTCCTCCCTTACCACGCCCCCAATCTTCAACCCCCTTTCAATCCTCCCTCCGAATTCCCCCCTTCACTTGCGCCCCCTCACCGAAATTCTCCCTTCACTGAACCTTTCACGGCCCTGTTGCCTGTTTCATCCTCTCCCTTGTCCCTCACATTGCCCCTCGTCACCCTCACCCACACCCAACCCCACCCACACCTCTCCCCTTCACAACGGCTGATGCAGGCCCCAAAGCACTGGTTGATTCAGTTACCGGCAATCAACGCTTGCTGTAAGCAGTGTATTGAAATGCAGTACAGTTTAGTGCACTGTAGTGTAGTACAGTTCAGTCTGCAACCAAGTGTAGTTTCTCTATAAGTGTAACCATAGCATGCTATTTGCCCTCTTGACAAAGGTCGGATCATACAGGGAACATTCGTTTACACATACTATAATACAAGGGAAACAAAGCAAGCTACATCACAAAATGCGCCATGTGGTACAGGTGTGCTGTTGGTGTGCCTGCAAGGGTACTGGAAACTACTTAACACTGCAGGGATTGAGGCGGCTCAGAAGTATGAACAAAGGTGCTATGGTGTCAACTGTGTACATGTCATGTGATGTGATGTGATGTGATGTGATGTGATGTGATGTGATGTGATGTGATGTGATGTGATGTGATGTGATGTGATGTGATGTGATGTGATGTGATGTGATGTGATGTGATGTGATGTGATGTGATGTGATGTGATGTGATGTGATGTGATGTGATGTGATGCGATGTGATGCAATGTGATGCAATGCGATGGGATCATTCCCTGCGACCAGAATGTGTGCTGCCGAGGGTGCAATGCTGCACCCAATGTGACCAATCTGAGTCCTTTGGCACTTAACTAAGTGCTGGAGCTGGAAAGAGCAACACCTGCAAGGAATGGCTGGTTGGAATCCTTGTTGGGCGACAGAATGGCCTGTAATTTCCGACAATAGTTTTCAAGAAGAAAGGGGAACGGGGGAATTGGGGGGAAAGGGGGAGGTGGGAAGAAAGGGGAGAGTGGGGGTAGTGTTATGAAATACATTGTTCACTGTTGAACACTTACTGCAGAGCACTCAGCAACACTTACTGCAGTGCATTTAGTGACACAAGGCTCATATAAACACTCAGGGTATTAGCACCATGTGCTGGCACAGCAGTCTCTCTATCCACACATCAGCTCTTCCTAACACTGCTGCTGCTGCTGCATGTCCCTCATACGTTCACACACACTCACCGCATTAGCGCCATTCGCCTCTGCAGCAGCTTCTGAATCCACATCCCCACGCATCTGCTCTTGCTGCTGCTGCATGTCCCTGTTCTGCTGCCGGCGCTGCTGCACGAGGCGGCAGCAGGTGAAGGAGACGGCTACGAGGAGAATGGTGAGGGCGATGAGCAAGCAGACGGTGAAGAAGGATGAACCCCACGTGGAGTCAGAGGGAGGGGGCTGCTGCTGGGTGCCTGTATGGGAAGGGGAGGGGTGCAGGAAAGGAAGTGGATGAGTGAAAGGAGATGGCTAGGAGGAGAATGGTGAGAGCGACGAGCAGACAGACGGTGAAGAATGACGAACCGCACGTGGTGTCAGAGGGAGGGGGTTGCTTGGTAGCTGTGGGGGGAGTGGCAGGGAGGCAGATGAGAGACGGACGTGAGGAGAATGGCGATGAGCCGACAGACGGTGAAGAAGGATGAACCCTGCGTGACATCTGAAAAAATGGCTGCTGGGTGGCTGTTTGGGAAGCAAGGGTGGATAGAAGAAGAGGAAGGGAGGTGGATGAGTGTAAGGAAACTGGTGTGACTCGCAAAGTCGCCTCAAGTGCACGAGGGGATTATTTTAGGCGAGTAAAAACCGGAGGCAAGAAGCTGAGCAGACTTACCCGCAGCAGCAGCAGCAGTGGAAGCATCAAGCTCGGGAGGAGGGGAGTAGAACTGAGTACACGCGGCAGCATCCAACTGGCCCTCGGCTGCTACCGGCACGTCTGATGGGGGGGAGGATGCAGAGGAGAAGCAGTTGAAGAAGTACCTGGGGGAGGGTGGAGGGGGTGGAAGAGAGAGCGGAGGGAGGGAGGGGGAGAGAGGAAGGGGATGGAGGGGGAGAGAGGAAGGGGTGTAAGCTTGATTGGCAGGAGAGGTGGGTCGCTATGAGTGCAGAGCATGTGGGGGGGAGGATGCAGAGGAGAAGCAGTTGAACAAGTACCTGGGGAGCGGGGGGGGGGGGAGGAAGGGTGGAGAAGGAGGTTGGGAGGGGTGAAGAGGGATTTGAAGGGAAGGAGAGGGGGATTGCAAGGAGTGCAGAGCGCATGGGAAGGATGCAGAGGTGCAGCAGTTGAAGAAGTACCTGGGGGAGGAAAGGTGGGGAAAGAGAGCAGGGGAGGGAGCGGGTTGAATTAGAGGTCAGGAGTGAGTGGAGAGGTTGGAGGGGGGAGGATGCAGAGGTGAAGCAGTTGAAGAAGTACCTGCGGGAGAGAGGCGGGGAGAGGAAGGGGGGGGGTGATTGATTAGGTGGGGATTGGATGGTGGAGGGAGTAAAATGGGTGAGGGGTGAATAGAAGGGAGCTGGTGGGCAGGAGAGAGGGGTCGCACGGATTGAGGAACAGGAGAAGGGAGGGGGGCGTATTGGTGAAGCAGTTCAAGTATGGCAGCAAGGCAGGGGAGGGGGGCCAAGTGGTTGGGATGTTAGTAATATATCAGGAGAGAGCAGAGCTGTTGTGGAGGATGCACCTGAGAGCAACTGAGGGTCACCTGCGAGCAACAGAGGATCACCTGAGAGCAACAGAGCGTCACCTGAGAGCAACAGAGCATCACCTGAGAGCAACAGAGCGTCACCTGAGAGCAACAGAGCGTCACCTGAAGTCAGCCTGGCGTTCAGGTGGAGGAAGCGGCACAGAGCCGTTGAAGAAATTGTTTGAGATGTCACTGTGATGTGATGGGGCGGGGGGGGGGGGGGGGGGGGGAGGACAAGGCGAAGGGGCGAGAGGAGGGAGTGGAGGGGAAACAGTGGCGTTCAGGTGGAGGGGAAACACTGGCGTTCAGGTGGAGGCAGCAGCACAGAGCCGTTGAACAAGGGGAGGGGTTTGAGACGTCACTGTGATAAGGGGAGAGGGGGTAAGAGAGACAGGAGGGGAAGGGGTTGTGAAGTGAAGAGAAAGTACTTGTGAGATGGTTTTTGAGGCGCCTCAAAAGGGGAGGGGAAGGGGTTGTGGAGTAAAGTAAAAGAGAAATGACTCGTGAGACGGTTTATTTGAGAATTCTCAAGACCCATCTCAAAAGGCACAGAGAATTCTTTTGAGTCGAGTCAAAAGTAGTCTTGAGATCTCTAAAAAACCATCTCGAAAAAGCATGAAGACTTTGAAGAAGTTGCTTGAGATGTCACTGTGATGGGGGGGGGGGGAGAGGAGAGAGTTGGGGGATTGAGAGGAAAGCAGGGAACAGCATCTTCTGACGCATCTGAGAAGGCAAGGGGACGTTGAGAAAACTGTGTTTTGATTCGACTCAAAACTGGCGCATCTGAGAAGGCAAGGGGACGTTGAGAAAACTCCTGGAGACTTGCTGTGACGGGGGAAATGGAGGAAGGAGAAAGGGGAGGAGATTGAGAGGAGAACAGGAAAAAGGGAAAAGGGAGAAGAGATGTTGTTGAAGATGTCGTGTGTTGAGAAAAAGAGAGGAAAGGGGAAGTGGGAACATTAAGTAATTCGAAAATTATACTATTATTGTGCGGAGCGAAGCAGAGGCAACTGGAAGCTGAGGCAGAGAGCAGAGGGACGAGGGCAGAGGGACGAGGGCAGAGGGACGAGGGAAGAGGACCATAAAGCCTTGACACCTGAGAAGTTAGAACATGATAAAAACGCATCGCACAGAAGTGCACGGCATAAAACGGCATGTGCACGGCATAGCACGGCATAGCACGGCATGTGCACGGGATGTGCACGGCATGAAACGGCATGTGCACAGCACGGCATGTGCATATCACGGCATGTGCATATCACGGCATGTGCATGTCACGGCATGTGCATGTCACGGCATGTGCATGTCACGGCATGTACATATCACGGCATGTGCATATCACGGCATGTGCATATCACGGCATGTGCATATCACAGCATGTGCATATCACGGCATGTGCATATCACGGCATGTGCCTATCACGGCATGTGCCTATCACGGCATGTGCATATCACGGCATGTGCATATCACGGCATGTGCATATCACGGCATGTGCATGTCACGGCATGTACATATCACGGCATGTGCATATCACGGCATGTGCATATCACGGCATGTGCCTATCACGGCATGTGCATATCACGGCATGTGCATATCACGGCATGTGCCTATCACGGCATGTGCATATCACGGCATGTGCATATCACGCCTATCACGGCATGTGCATATCACGGCATGTGCATATCACGGCATGTGCCTATCACGGCATGTGCCTATCACGGCATGTGCATGTCACGGCATGTGCATGTCACGGCATGTGCATGTCACGGCATGTGAAGGAACTCACACGTCGGTGAGGGAGGGGAAGCGCCAGAGGTCTGCAGGCAGCGAGCCGGACAGGCGGTTGGAATGCAGATAGCTGCATGGCATGGCATGGCATGGCATGGGATGGCATGGGACGGGATGGGACGGGATGCGGGACATGGGGATGGGATGAGGGACACGGGGATGGGATGGGGGACACGGGGATGGGATGGGGGACACGGGGATGGAGGGGCGCCAGAGGCAGCAGGGAGGGGCGCCAGAGGCAGCAGGGAGGGACGCCAGAGGCAGCAGGGAGGGGCGCCAGAGGCAGCAGGGAGGGGCGCCAGAGGTCTGCAGCCGCAGCAGCGGGCCGAACAGGTGGTTGGAATGCAGATAGCTGTGTGGTGGGGCACACACGCTCACTCACTTGAGTTGGATGTTGGGGAGTTGTGTGAGGAAGGCCGGTAAGGGCCCCGAGGCAGGCAGTAGAAAGTCCCCACCACTCCCCACCACTCTCCACCGCTTTCCCCACCATTACCCGCGCTCACATGTGTTGGATGTTAGAGTTGCGTGAGAAAGGCCGGGAAGCTGCCTGTGGCAGCAGCAGCAGCGGAGAAATTTCGAGGCTCGAAAATATCCAACCACTTTGTACCCACTCCCTACCACTCCTCACCCACTCCTAGCGCTCACATGTGTTGGATGTTGGGGAGTTGCGTGAGGAAGGCTGGGAAGGGCCCCGAGGCAGCAGCAGAGGAGAAGGAGAAGAAGGAGAGCGATGCGAGGGCAGCCCATGAAGGAGGGAAGTCGGCCGTCACAGGAAGACGGTACAGGGAACTGGAGGGGAAGGGGGAAGCGGGGGAGGGGTGTTGGAATATGGAGGGAGATGGATGGAGAAGAAGGGAAGGTGGCGGTCAAACTTAGGGGGCACAGACAGGCTACAGGGAGCTGGGGAAGGGTGAGGGACGAGGAACATGCATTTGAAAGGGGGGAACGGGCCCGAGGCAGCAGCGGAGGAGGAGGAGGAGGAGAGCGAGCGAGGGCGGACCACGAAGGGGGAAAGCTGGTCGTCACAGTCACGCGACGACTCAAAACTCCCAAAATGATCAGCCTCCTGATTCCTGGCACTTACAGCACTTGAAGGTTGGTGAGCTGGCTCCAGGCATCTGGAGGCTGGCCCTGAAAGTGGTTGTCGCCCAGGTCGCTGGTGGGGAGGAAGAGGGAGCGTGGACGCATGATGGGTGAGTGCGTGAGGGAGTGACGAAGAGAGTGTGTGGGTGACAGGGTGAGTGAGTAAGTGAGACGAAGAGAGTGTGTGGGTGAGTGAGTGAGTGAGTGAGACGAAGGGAGTGTGTGGGTGAGTGAGTGAGTGAGTGAGTGAGGGTGGAGAAAGAAAGACAGGTTGAGATGTAGAACACCATGAAGGTGAACTCCTGTCAATTAAAGTCAATCCACATGCACGCACGTCAACCAAAGTCAACCCAACTGAACCCAACTCAACTCACAGGGTCACAAGGTCTGTGAGCGCGCCAAGTTCTTCGGGCAGCTGGCCAACAATCTGGTTCTGCCCGAGAACGAGTGAGGAGAGGCGAGAGAGGGCAGAGAGGCCCGCGGGGAGCGACCCCGTGATGCGGTTCATGTCCAGATGCCTGCAGGGGTTTAGGGTTGGGGGGGAAGAGGTGGGAGGAGAGAGATCACAGAGTCTTAGATAACGCTCGCACGGAACGGAGCGACCCATTAAAGAGGTTCATGTCCCGGTGCCTGCAAGGGGGGGGTGGTAGGGCGTGTGACAGGGGCGGTGGCAGGTGGGGGTGAGGGAGGGAGGGAGGGCGGGAGGAGGGAAGGAGGGAGGGCGGGAGGAGGGAGGGAGGGAGGGAGGGAGGGGGGGAGGGCGGGAGGGAGGGAGCGAGGGAGGGAGGGAGGGAGGGAGGGAGGGAGGGAGGGAGGGAGGGAGGGAGGGAGGGAGGGAAGGAGGGGGGGAGGGAGGGAGGGAGGGAGCGAGGGAGGGAGGGAGGGAGGGAGGGAGGGAGGGAGGGAGGGAGGGAGGGAGGGAGGGAGGGAGGGAGGGAGGGAGAGGCGAGAGAGAGCAGAGAGGCCCGAGGGGAGCAGCCCCGTGATGTGATTCATGTCTAGGTGCCTGATTCATGTCTAGGTGCCTGATTCATGTCTAGGTGCCTGATTCATGTCTAGGTGCCTGATTCATGTCTAGGTGCGCATCCAAACGGGGGGGAGCAGGCAGACAGGCCATATTAGGGTTTAAGATTTAGGGTTCGCTTGCATCGCAGTTTTGAGACGTCTGAAGACGCGCTCTTTGGCTTGCATCGCACTGGGGAAAGGGAAAAGAGCAAAGAAACTAACACGCAAAGCAGAAAAGGAATGAGACACAAGAACGAGCATGTGGCTCGCATATTCTGCGTAATGCTTGCTCTTGTGTAGCTTCCATTGTTGCACCTTTGAAACAATTCAGAAGCACCCAGCACAGCACATGGTCTGTGTAATGTGGGCACTCACAGCCTTAGTGGGAATTTATGCGTATAGCATATCTATGCGTATCGTACATACGCTAACCTATATACGCTAAACGCTCAAGGGTCGATTTGGTAATACGCTTTTTCGGGCAGGAAAAAAACTATCCCGGGCAGGGTGAAAAAAAACGTCGTGCTCAAGATTGGAAGGTGTTCCCTATTCTCACTAAGACTTTCGTAGCATTTCCCTGGGTCTGAGCGGCGATTGGGGTGGGATGTGGAGTAGACAGAAGAAGGAGAAGTAGGTAGGAATCGGAAGGAGCTCTGCTGTTAGGAAGCGGGAATGTCAACTAGAAATGACGACTGGAATTTTGCTGGCTGGTAAGTAGCGTGAGTGGGGTTTGGTGTGGGACGTTTTTGACAGGTTGGAGTTCGTAAGATGGGTTTCAGTGCGGTACTAATCTAATGTTCAAATTTGAACTGCCTGCAACACTTCGAAGGCACATTCCCGCTTCCCTGGACCATCGAATTGCATTTCAACTTAGGCGAAAAGCTCAGCAGAAGATTCCGCGTCTTTCTGTATACAAGCGATTTTTTTCCTGGGCAGCCCGAAAACTTTTCTGATAGCGTATAGCGTATTAGCTAGCGTATCGCGTTTTGCGTACACACGCTAGCGTATATACGCTATACGCTTTAGGGTTTGAGCGTATATTCCCACTAAGCTCACAGCGACTCAGCACTCACAGCGACTCAACACTCACAGCGACTCAACACTCACAGCGACTCAACACTCACAGCGACTCAACACTCACAGCGACTCAACACTCACAGCGACTCAACACTCACAGCGACTAAACACTCACAGGGTCTCAACAAACACTCACAGGGTCTCAAAAAAGACTCACAGGGTCTCGAGAGCAGTCATGGCTGTGACATCTGCAGGCAGTGAGTCGATGCGGTTGAATGTGAGGTTGCTGCACGTGTTCGAAAAGGGGGCGGGTGAAGGGAGGGGTGTGGAGGGGAGGGAAAGGTGGAGGGGAGGCGGGGGTGGGTTGGAGGGGGAAAGGAACCAGACTGTGACATCCGCAGGCAGTGAGTCGATGCGGTTGAACGTCAGGTTGCTGCGTGTGTTGGGGGGGTGTAGGTTGGGAACCAGAGCGGTGAAGGGGGATGGGGAGGGTTGACCATGGAATTGCAGCAGCGGCAGCACGACAATAAAATCCAGGGCCCACAGTGTTAGATAACCCTCACAGGTGTTTCAGTCAGCTCTTACAGGTGTTTCAGTCAGCTCTTACAGGTGTTTCAGTCAGCTCTTACAGGTGTTTCAGTCAGCTCTTACAGGTGTTTCAGTCAGCTCTTACAGGTGTTTCAGTCAGCTCTTACAGGTGTTTCAGTCAGCTCTTACTGGTGTTTCAGTCAGCTCTTACAGGTGTTTCAGTCAGCTCTTACAGGTGTTTCAGTCAGCTCTTACAGGTGTTTCAGTCAGCTCTTACAGGTGTTTCAGTCAGCTCTTACAGGTGTTTCAGTCAGCTCTTACAGGTGTTTCAGTCAGCTCTTACAGGTGTTTCAGTCAGCTCTCACAGGTGTTTCAGTCAGCTCTTACAGGTGTTTCAGTCAGCTCTCACAGGTGTTTCAGTCAGCTCTCACAGGTGTTCCAGTCAGCTCTTACAGGTGTTTCAGTCAACCCGCTCCAGCCGCTGCAGCGCCGTCATTTTCCCCCACGTGATCTCCCCCCTCAGCGGCCCCACCACCCCTGCTGCTACAGCCGCCGCTACAGCCTGCTGGCTGGCGCCCCGGGCGGTCAGCTGCTGCGCTACAGCCGCCACTGTGGCGCCTCGGGCCCATGAGGCGTTGAGGGATGCCAAGAAAGGGTTGCTCATGTCGCTGGTGGGGTGGGGGGAAGGGGAGGGGAGAGAGGTGGGGTGCAGAGGCAAGAGGGAATCAGGCTTTTCCATTGCATGACAGTGAAGTTGTTTTTGACTTGTCTTGAAACAAGTGGGGAGAGCGAGTGGGGCCAAATGTCGATTGATTCTAGAGGGAGCCGGCCAAAGTGCATTGCAGCAGCATCCTTGACCCTTGGCCCCTAGCCCTTGACCCTTGACCCTTGACCCTTGACCTTGACCTTGACCTTTGGCCCTTGACCCTTGGCCCCTTGACCCTTGACCCTTGACCCTCGACCTTTGGCCCTTGACCCTTGGCCCCTTGACCCTTGACCCTTGACCTTTGGCCCTTGACCCTTGGCCCCTTGACCCTTGACCCTTGACACTTGACCCTCGACCCTTGACCCTTGACCCTTGACCTTTGGCCCTTGGCCCGATCTGGAAAGAGCGACCCACAACTTCTGAGTTGACTCAACAGTCAAGAAGTGCAGCAGCATTGGGCTGGACGGAACAGAGCTGAAGAAAGTAACAGACCAGGAACAGGCCACATGTGCACTCTTCCCGTCCATTCAAACCATCCAACCGCAAACCACCGCACATCGTCCAGCTTCACCCCATGTCATTCCATGTCACCGCACAGCGCCCCACTTCACCACATGGCACCACTCACATGGCAATGACGCGGCCTGTGGAGTCGCACGTGACAAACTGCCACGTGTCAGCGCAGGGCTGCGACAGCTGGCCCTGGCGGTTGGGCGAGGGGCCGTCCGACCACCTCCCCGCCAGGGAGAACGCGGGATGGTTCCCCAGAGCTTGCTTCAGCGCCAGCAGCGCGCTCGCTGGGGGAAAGAGGGAGGGGGAGGGAGAGGCGGAAGGGGAGAGGGGAGGGGAGGCGGAGAGGTGGACATAGGGAGGGGAGGAGGGATGGAAAAAGCGGAGTGGCTCCTCCGTGCTTGCTTCCGAACCAGCAGCGCGCTGGCGGGGGGGAGGATGGGGAGGAAAGGACGAGGGGGAGGGGAAGGGGGAGGGGGAGTGGGAGGGGGAGGGGGAATAGGAGGGAAGGGGAGGGGGAGGGGGAGGGGGAGGGGGAGGCTGAGGCGGAAGAGGAGGGGAAGGCGGTCACCTCACGACCGTATTCTCTCCTCCACATCCATTGCCTCCTTCACAGACCTTCGCCTCCTGAGAGATTTTAAAGAATTCTCAAAAATCGTTCACAAGGGATGGGGAAGAGGTCAGCTCGGGCCCTTCCTCTCACCTCCACATTCCCTCGCGTCCTTCACTGACTCTCGCCTCCTCGGCTCAATCTGGCCTTTAAAAAGTTTCAGTTCGTGCCTCGTCATCCCTCTCTTCCATCACTCACTCTCGGCCGAAACGATTTCGTCCGACACGGGCGGCTCTTGAAGAACGCGGCGACCCGAACCGCCACGTGCGACGGACGTGGCGAGAGACGGCCATAGCAGCGTCGCGAGGAGCAGGACGGCGCAGAACGGGACGAGACGCGCTGGTGCCGGCGAGCGTGACGACGTGGATGACGTCATCGCGATTGTAGAAGGGACGGCAACGTGGCCGGCCACGTGGACGAAGAAGTGGGGGCTGCTAGTAGTGATTGTGAGACAACGGCTACAACGCACCGTGCCCTAGACCACTGGGCGAATCGAGGTTATCCAGAGGTCGCGCGGTGCGCTCGCAATTATGAGACGGCGTCACAACGGCAGTTGTGAGATACCGGCTACGCGGTAGACGCGGAGAACGGGTGCTACTGGCTACGCTACTGGAAACGGGAAATTCGATAGCTGCTACGCGACAAGAAACAAGAGATTCGGTACCAGTACGCGACAAGAAACAAGAAATCTGCTCACTTCTAGCTGAACGGAATGAGAAAAATCGCGAACGTATACGCGACTACAACGGTTGTTTGCTCGCACTGAGGCTAAAAAGGGACTAAGCAAAGTCTGCTATGCAACACAATTATGCTATCAAGTATCAAGACTGTCAGCACAGAACCCATGGGTGGACAAGAAATCTTTCTGTAACTTGTGAGGCAAGGGAAGGGAAGGGATGGAGTCTCCAAGCTGAGGCAGACATGAATCTGGCAGTTCGCGTGGTGGTTATCGGTGCGAGAGATGTTTCTCGTGGCGCGCTGGGCTGCAGTAACAACATGGAGGGTTGAGAAACGACAGTCATCCGCTAGCCTGGTTGAGTCGAGGTTGGCGAAGAATGAGGAAGTTGGTTGGCGAAGGTCGAGGAAGCTGCTTGGCGAACGGTCGAAGCGTGTGCTAGGGCGTGTAAAATCGCCGCACCTAAAAATTCGGCCACTAGCCAAATGGCTGAATTGGCGAAAGTACAAAAAGCTCGCGACCATCGTTAATTTCGCCAATAAAAAACGAAAGTCGACACCGATTCGAAATTGATGACTGTTTTGAAAGTCGACTCGTATCTGACACCGTGGCCCAGTTCGGCAGCCACGGAAGAAGGACGGAAGAAAATTGTCGATCTTCTTAGAAGCTTCATTTCGCATTATCGAGGGCTGTACAGCGCGGATTGTAGGGTTAAATTTTCGGAAACCGAGGCGCAGGTGTTTAGCAGCAGCGACGCGAACACCACATAAAATTGATTCCGCGCCGTCTTCTGTCCTTATTTTGCCCAATCTAGCGGAAAGCTTCCGCCCTAGTGCGACGGAAGAAAAAAGGGTTTTGAGCTGATCACGCACTGGTACTCTACTTATTCGCTCCCAGCGCAGCTACAGTGCTTCTGGCGCACTGTTACTGCCCAGTTTTCGCTTTGAGCGCAGGAACAAAGCGATTTCAACGCAGTTTTGATTTCATTGGTCGACACATGGCACATAACTTACAAACTGAACCTGTGGACACTGATTGCAAAAACAGTGTCTATTTTATTCATGCATTTAATGGTAAATTAATATATACCCCATTCAGAAGGGGTATCAGCTGTGTAATTGCCCCCCTCCCTCATACAGTTACGACTGTGGCCCCTTTTGCTGTATCCCTGATATATTGAAATGCCTTATATGTAAAAAAGGGGGGTATCAGCAGGGTCGACGATATCAGGGTAATTACCCTGATTTCAGGGTGATTACAGGCTTCTGACTTGGTGGTCCCTGCAAACACAGGTTTTGTATTTTGTGAACTCTGATCCTATCAGAGTAGCTACTTAACGGACTCTGAATTCTTGTAACTAGGCTCAGAGTAGTGTACTTGCGGAGCCTGTCAATGCAGAGTATGCGTTCCGTGGACCCTGAATGCGAGGGTATTGGGACGAAGTTTCCTAGAAGTTTCGTTTCGATAACCCCCTTGTGCGTAATCATATCTTCGAGAGGCCCCATGTGAGGTACATCACTCACGCGCCCGTGAGTGACGTAATACTGACAAAGGACAACACTTACTTGCTGTACATCACAGCTGGCAACCACGCCAACGCAGCCAACTCAATGAGACGGTGCAGCCACGCGCACCGCACAGTGCACAGCATGTGTCTGCCATTGGCCGGAATGGCCTGTTGACAGCATGCGGTGGCAGCCAAGGAGTCCGTGAATGAATTCGGCCTTGAATGCAAGGACGAATTCATCGAGGAATGTTGCCATCAAGTCCGTGGAATCGCGGCGCGGTGGTTTCGTGCTCCCGCCATCTCCAACCTCCCCTTCCCTCCCCATACCAGCAGCCAACGTTCCTTCGTTCACTAGTGTGTTTTTTCCATTACGTGCATTCATTGTCTCTTTTTCCTCTCGTTCAGTTTAGCCACCAATGGAGGCCATGCCGGCCGACGAAGCTGCTCCGGACACTGGCCCCGACGAGCCGCCTGTAAGAGCGAAACCAACAGCGCCGTCCCAGCCGGAGAAAGCTTCGGATGCTCCCCGCTCTGGGCTAGATTTTATTAGATCTACGGCTGCTCCTGTCACACCTGAACCGCCTAGGTCTACCGTTCACGATTCTGCCCTTGTAGTAACCCCTACTCCTACTGCTTCTCCTATTCCCGTCCCGTTCACTCTCCCTCCGGCTGTTGCTGGCTGCAGCAAAAATCCTCCACCGCCCTCGCCCAGTCTTACTCCAAGCACGGTGCGGGTGTCCGTTGGCCCGCCGTCGGCTACTTCCGCTCCCAAGCGTGCGCGATCTGGAAAGTGGGCGCAGAGTACTCTGCTGGTGGGAGGCCGCCGTATTCCACCGCCGGAAAAGCCCGATGAGCCTGCACAGAAAGAAGCTGAGCTGCCGGAAGAAGGTGACATCCCGGTGCGCGCGGATACCGGCTCGCCGGCACTCACCAAGACGCAGCTGCGAGAGCAGATGTACCTGGAGGCGAGTATTAATTACGAGACGAAGTGGGCTGGATACTTTTCCTGGCTTGTGTTCGGGAAAACCAAGGACGGTTTCCCGTACGTGAAGTGCAGCGTCTGCATGTCGTACGGTAAGGGGAACACGAGGTACGCCATGCATGGAGACGACGGAGGTCGTGACTTGCAGACGCAGGCGTTCCGGGCGCACGAGCATACGGACGCACACATGGCGGCGGTGGACCGCCAGATGAAGATTGCGGCGGGAATCCGCGAGGGGCAGCAGGTGATTTCGGACTTCATCAACTCCGACGTCGAGGGCCGCCGCGCGATACGGCTGATGCGGTCGACTCAGTTCCTGTGCCAGTGCGACGCGCCGATTAGCATGTTTCCTAAGCTGATGCGGCATCTTGCGGAGCAGGACACGCCAGACATTCCCCGGCAGTCGTACGGCGTTTATCTCACGCGGTTAATGACGGTTCAAATTGCTTGCAAATTTAAACATGCACGTCAAACAACTAGCTTGACTATCGTGTACTGATAATTTCTCTGTCCTTTGTTGCAGCTACGGCTTCCAGCAGATGGTCCACAGCATGAGCACTTACCTCACCCGGGTGCAGATGGACCACGTCCTGACATCACCGTTCCTGGGCATCCAGTGCGACGAGAGCACTGACCGCACGCGAGGGAAACACATGATTGTGTACCTTACATATCTGAAGAACCGCCAAGTTGTATGCGAGTTTTTCACTTTGCTGACGGTCGAGCGGTGTGATGCAGGGTCCTTGTTTGAGCTGCTGCTGAACCATCTTCGCTCCGATGCCGTCGATGTGTCCAAGATCGTCGGCATCAGCACGGACGGGGCGTCGGTCATGACCGGGAGAGAGAACGGATTGGTGGCGCGTCTTCGTGAACACGTCCCTCATCTGTTCTCATGCCACTGCATCGCCCATCGGTATGTGAGTTGATCAATATTGTAGCATGTTATCTACGATGATTGGTTTACTAACAAACCATAATACTTGTTCCCTGCTTTACACAGTGAGGCGTTGGCTGTGAAGGACGCCGCTGACTCAAACCCGGATCTCGACATGGTCGACAAGGTGGTGCGCACTGTGGCGACTCTGCTCGGAAACTCCAGCGTGTGGAGTCAGCGGTTCAAGTACCTGCAGCGTGTGATTTACAAGACCAACCTGGAAGTCCAAGGCATACACACGGTGCGGTGGCTGTCTCGAGGAGATGCGGTGGCCAGGCTGTGCAAGGTCCTCGGCGCTTGCATCGTGCTGCTCTGGGAGCACAATCACAAGGCGTACGAGATTGTCACCTGCTACAAGTTTCAGTTCTGCTTGTTTTTCTTGGCCGACATCTTGGCGGACATGAACGACCTCAACCGCTGCTTCCAGAGACGAGAGGTGAGGTCGCATGTTTGTATGATGTTGCTACGTGAGGTTCGTAACTGCACTGTTGCTCATCCTTCTCCCTCTTGTCTACCCCTGCTCTGCCACAGCTGGACGTGACAGAGATTGCGAAGATGATCGAGTCCACAACGAGTGACCTGGTGGAGCGCTACTTGACACCAGAGAAAGCTTTCGGGGGCGAAGGGAAGAGCTGGCTGGTGACCTTTCTCAAAGTCCACAAGGAGGGTGGAGGCAAGCAGGTCCGGGTGCGCGGCGTGGACGGTGCTGGGCGCCCGATCAACCACCTGTACACCATGCATGAGCGGAAGCTGAAGGGGCACAAACACGGAAGCACCTACGCAGACTGCGTGAAGCTGTGCCGCAAATTCGCCCGTGACTGCGTGGACAACCTCACCAACCGACTGGATGACCTTGGGAAGCTGGGGCCGACGAAGCTGTTCCGGGCGGGCAAGTGGCCGAAGATCAAGGCCCAGCGAGAGAAGAAGTGTAAGGAGTGGCTGAACGGGTGCAGCAAGTTGTTCCGCAACAAGCTACCGGGATTCGACATCAAAGCAGCAGAGAGGGAGCTTCCAACCTTCTGCGCGATCATGGAGGCACACCATGAGATGGAGAGCTTCACCCAGGGCCTGTCCAACTTCCTTGGGAGCGCAGACTCCAAGAGGTAGCCTTTACTTTGCGCCCATGGGTTTTACAATCTTGTTGATTGCTAACTGTTTCCGTTGTGTTGTGTGTACGCATGTGCCTGGCAGGAGATGGCCCAACCTCATCCTGCTGTGGCAGGCATTGGCTGTGCTCCCTCTCTCCACCGTGGAGTGCGAGAGGGGGTTCTCCAGGC